AAGGAAGGAAGTAAGGAAGGAAGGAAGGAAGGAAGGAAGGAAGGAAGGAAGGAGAGATAAAGAAGAAGAAGAAGGAAGTAAGGAAGAAAATAGAGAGAGAAAAAAGAAGGAAGGAAGGAAATAGAGAGAGAAGAAGAAGGAAGGAAGGAAGGAAACAGAGAGAGAAGAGGAAGGAAGGAAATAGAAAGAAGAAGAAAAGGAAGGAAGGAGAGAAAGAAGGAAGGAAGGAAATAGAGAGGAGAAAGAAGAAGAAGGAAGGAAGGAAATAGAGAGGAGAAAGAAGAAGAAGGAAGGAAGGAAATAGAGAGGAGAAAGAAGAAGAAGGAAGGAAGGAAATAGAGAGGAGAAAGAAGAAGAAGGAAGGAAGGAAATAGAGAGGAGAAAGAAGAAGAAGGAAGGAAGGAAATAGAGAGGAGAAAGAAGAAGAAGGAAGGAAGGAAATAGAGAGGAGAAAGAAGAAGAAGGAAGGAAGGAAATAGAGAGGAGAAAGAAGAAGAAGGAAGGAAGGAAATAGAGAGGAGAAAGAAGAAGAAGGAAGGAAGGAAATAGAGAGGAGAAAGAAGAAGAAGGAAGGAAGGAAATAGAGAGAGAAAGAAGAAGGAAGGAAATAGAGAGGGAACGAAGAAGAAGGAAGGAAATAGAGAGAGAAGAAGAAGGAAGGAAGGAAATAGAGAAAGAGGGAAGGAAGGAAATAGAGAGAGAAAGAAGAAGAAGGAAGGAAGGTAATAGAGAAAAAGAAGGAAGGAGAAGAAGAAGGAAGGAAGGAAATAGAGAAAGAAGAAGGAAGGAAATAGAGAGGGAAAGAAGAAGAAGGAAGGAAATAGAGAAGAAGAAGGAAGGAAGGAAATAGAGAAAGAAGAAGGAAGGAAATAGAGAGGGAACGAAGAAGAAGGAAGGAAATAGAGAGAGAAGAAGAATGAAGGAAGGAAATAGAGAGAGAAAGAAGAAGGAAGGAAATAGAGAGAAGAAGAAAAGGAACGAAGGAGAGAAAGAAGGAAGGAAGGTAGAAAATAGAGAGAGAAAAAGAAGGAAGGAAATAAGAGAGAGAGAAGAAGGAAGGAAGGAAGGAAGGAAGGAAGGAAGTAGAGAGAGAAAGAAGAAGGAAGGAAACAGAGAAAGAAGAAGAAGGGAAGGAAGGAAGGAGAGGGAAGGAAGGAAGACCGACAGCCGGCCGGACAGACACACTGTCT